TGACACGCGTGTCATAGGTTCACCATCACTGAGCTAGATAGTCAGGATCCCTGGCACAGCAGAGCCATGGCTAAAGTCGCTGAGCAGCAAAGGGAGGCAAGGGAGCTTCTCCAGATATACTACACCCACAGCTCTGAAGGGTCATGGCCTACGGCAAGCTCAGAGGAGGACAATCACCAAGGCCTTTGTACCACATGGAACACGGCAGAGAGGAACCAGGCCAGAATCAATTCCTGCTAGCACACAACGTTCTGAGCTGGATTAACCCAGGCAGCCACCCAGCCAGGGGCTTCCAATTAACAGACGCAGAGGTGCCCCAATGCTTCCTTCTAAGGCAGGGTGCCTTGGGTTGCTCTCCTGGGTGGCTCTTTAGGACTAATGAATGCCAGAGGAATTGGAGTAAACAGCTGCAGCCCGGGCTATAAAATCTCTCTGGTGGAGGCTTCCTGATGCCTGGAAGTGATCCCTTATAGGCTAGCTTGACAATTACTCTTGTGCCTTCAGTTCTGGGTGCTTCACCCATTCGCTGCCTAAACCTTGTCTAGCCTTGTATCTGCAGAAAGTCAACCGTGGCTCAGACCAGCCTGGCCTTTGACTTCTGGATGTAGTATGTCTCTCTCAGCAAATCAGGGTGTGCAACCATACTTCTGCCGACCACACCCACAGTAGCCAAAAATAGGCAACACCAGTTCTTCTACTCACCCATGATCTCGGCAGCCAAATATTCACCTCTTCCCTTTCAAGACTATTTCGAGAACCAGTTGTTAAGTTGCATCATCAACCGTGGGGTTTGGCACACCAAAACCCACGGTTGATGGTCCAGTATCGTTGTACAGGCTCTGGGAGTGACAGGTCATAATATATTATTTATGTTCATTTAGTCAAGATTATATACATTGCCGCCCAAGTCATTCTTGATGATTCTGGATGGTTTGCAAAGTAAAATGATCTGGAATTGGAGCCAGATCCTGGGAGTGTTGTTGGGGATGGGCGTGGGGATGGGGGCAGAATCCAACTGTCCTTCAGGGAATTTTCCGATGGGGTGGATGAAAAGAGCTATGACTATTCCACAGGTACCAAATGGATGTGACTTTCCAATAAATTTGACAATCTATTCTTTAAGAGGATACAAGTAAGAACACCTGGATGTTTTAAATAATAATAAGAGTTGCTTAATCCAGCAGTCCCACTTCTTGAATATTAAAGGCTTACCTCAATTACTTTTGCTGCTCCATCAGTCATGGCTAGAGAAGATGTGTAGCAAGCAGAAGAATTTATAAAAAGATACAGCTTGACAGCCTGATGAACACGGCTATAAAAAGAGAAATATATGAAGCTATATTTGGCATGCTTCCACAAAATGTCCTGTCACTCCCAGAGTTAAAACACTACTGGGAAAAGGACTTCCGAGGAAGTAATGGTAAAGAAATTGGTTACTGGAGAGTCCAAAAGTGCAATGAAATGAGGAGCTGATATAGGAACCAGCTTTTTGGAATTCCTCTCCAGAGAAAGAGAGGACTGGGTATCACCACATCTGATGCAGACAGCAGCTCCATGCAGTGAGAATGTATGACAGTGCTCTCCAGAAGGCTTAGAGCAGCAATCCTTAATTTTTCTGGCTCTGCAGACCGATGGCAGCAGTGTGGGGGAAAGGGGATAGCTCTGCGTATAAATAATTATATTAATTCATCTTAGGGATGAGTTAGAATTCTGTAAAAAGAGGAAGATTTTGAAATTAAATATAATAAACCTACGGGAAAAATATTGTGGATTAGAAAAAAACATGATAAACGGACTCTTGAAGGTTGGACATAGAACCAAAACAAACTAAAGATTATAATTGAAAGAGAAGTGACCCACTAATACAGAATGGAGCAAAAACTTTGAAAGAATTCAAGGGTATTTGCAAACAATGCACTTGAGAATTATGGTAAGTTATTGAAATTGTTCGTACTTGCGAGATAGGGGGGAAGTCAAGTCTTTGGATATCTTTTTTTCCTTTTTATTATAGCTTTTTTACTTTTTAATATTTTTCTTAATTTGCATTAGCTTTTTATCTGTGTATCTTAAAACTTTAATAGGAGTCATTATTTTGTTAAAAAAAGGAAGACTATAGTAAAAACAATCCTTGGGTGCAAAGCACTCAATGACTAAGCAATATAAAGTAGACTTTGCCGTTTAATATGACCAGAGTATGTATGTATGTGTATGTATGTATGTATGTATGTATGTTTCTATTTCTAAACTGCCCATCTCCCTCAGAAGTTTACTGGGAGTTGGGCAGCATCTTAATTTAATTTCATTAATTATTACTATAAAAAAGAATCCTACCAAACATTAAGCCATGCTAGGAGCCAAGAATATGCAAGAGATAGCCAAGCAGGTTCACATGGCTTTGCATGGCTCCCATAGACCACAGCAGTACCTCCAACAGGAGTATCTCCTTTTGTAACCTTCAGCCACAAGGCTCTCCTCAGCAGAGATGTCCTTCAGCCTCTTCCAGGCTGGGCAGGTGATCATCTGGTCCACACGTTGTCCCCAGGCATCAAAATGCAATAATCTGGGTGGGTTTAGCTCACACTCGCGGCCCAAGAAGTCAATTTCATCTCTCACACGAGCTCCGAACCGTTCCAGGTCAACGTTCACCTCGGCAAACACCTACAAGGTCAATGCATAAATATGGAACGTGAAGAGGTGGTGGGACAGGAACCACAGAAGGTAGCTTTGAAAGGAGCTAAGTTGAAGAGCTGCTGATTTCTTTCTTATTTGGCCAGTAGTTTCACTGATGCTGAAGCTGATGTTGCATCTTCAAACCTCAAGCTAAGTTTGTGGTTGGTACAACCTGGTTACATCTCAGTGTCTTTCCTTAAAAAAAAAAAAAAAACCACTCAGAATATATGTGAGCCAGAAACTAGCTTCATTACTATTTCTGCACATATTCTGCACATATTCATTACTATTCACTCCAAAGTGCCTTACGAGCCTAGTATTCTATTTTCTTTCACTGCAGTTGTATCATCCTTTTTTGTGGAGTGAGATGATGAAAATACAGCGTTGAAAAGGCATGTCTGAAACAAAGTTCCTTCTCCTGACAGCTATCTCTGGTTCTGAATCTGAAACATGTCCATGTATTGGGGAACAGAAATTGAGGAGCTCTCCACAGTTCTACTTGGCATGTCACATGAACACCAAAATCTAGACAATTATTTATCTCATTTGATCCACTCCCCATCAGGAAAGAACAACTGGAAACCTCTCCCGATGCGTTCTATGTTCTTAAACCTCATCCATCGAGGCGGTTCCCGCAACCTCCAGTCCCTATCCGGTCAAGGGACCTGGCCAGGGGTCGGGGGCTCAGGAGTAAAAGCGGTGGGGAGGGGGGCCACGGGCGGAGAAGCGCCGAGCCAGCCCTGCGGCCCCCACCGCCGAGCCCCCCGCCTGGCGCTCACCCACCTGGGCAGGCAGATGGGCTCTCAGGTAACCCTGGAGCAAGGAGTCTTCCAGGTAGGGGTTCCCCAACCGAGGCGCTTCCATCTTTGCAGAGGGGTCCTGGAGCGTTCCGCAGCCTCCCGCTTCCCGCAAAGGCTCCCGTTGGGAATGTAGCGACCGGGGCGATCTGGACGAAGCTTTTGTTCGCCCGCGCGAAACGCCCGAGAGGGCATTCCCACGGTTTAAGGAAGACCTGCCAGCTCTTCCATCCTCACGGGCATTGCGAGAGCGACTTTGATCTGGGTCAAAGAGATAGGGGTGGAGAGCGGGTTCGCCAAGCGGTTGGTAAGCAGCCCTCGGGGCTCTTCGTTGCAATTCACCCCTCCCATCTTCAAAAGAGAGAGGGAGAGGGAGAGAGAGGGAGGGAGGGAGAGACAGAGGGAGGGCGGCGGAACGGATCCAGCAAACTGCAGACCTATCAGCCTCACATTAATAGCTGGGAAGAGAACCAAGCAAGAGATAAGCCAATGTGGCAAAGAGTCAGAGGTGATTTGAGAAGAACAAAGTCTTTCAAGCTACCAGAGGACTGGAAAAGAGCTGATGTGCTTCCCATCTTCCAAAAGTTTAGAAGAAAAATGGATCTTCAGGCCAATCATTCCCCAGGGAAGCCCAAGAAAACATCATCAAGCAAAAAGGTCTGCAAAAGCAGAGAAATGAGCAAAGTTATTACTAAACCAGGAGGAAGGACTCCCTGGAGAAGAGCCTCATGCTGGGAAAGATGGAGAAAAGCAAAAGAAGAAGGGGATGACAGAGAAGGAGGTGGCTGGATGGAGCCACCGAAGCAGCAGGCCTGCGCTTCAATGGACTCCAGAGGATGGTGGAGGACAGGAAGGCCTGGAGGAACGTGGTCCATGGGAGTCGCGATGGGTCGGAAATGGCTTTGCAACTAACAACAGCAAATTACTAAAGCGGAATATAGGGCGGGTGGGAGACAGAGGCTCCAGCCTGAATGAAAACAGCTCACAAAAGACTTTGGATCACTAGATTAGCCTTTCTCAGCCCGAAATCAGGAAGTTGACATCCATCCTGCTGGTTGGGGAATCCTGGGGAATAAAACCCATAAGGGGTGCTGGCTGGGGTCAGCAAGGGTCTTGGAAGTTGCTGAAGTTGAAAAGCAGTAGAAAAGCCTGTTCATCTTAAAGCATGCCGGCTGGGGAATTCTGGGAGTTGTTGGGGAATTCTGGGAGTAGAAATCCACCCATTTTAAAACATGCCGGCTAGGAAGGGAAGAAGCCGAGAGTAAAACTAAAAATAATGCAAGATGTGCGTGAGAGAGGAGGCTTGAAATTACCCAATTTAAAACTATATTATGAAACAGTAGTTTTATCTGTAAGTAGTGACTGGATTAACTTANGAATCTAATGCATGAATTGTCTTTGGGCAGCTGGAGGAAAATGTACATTAAATGTACAACTTCTCCTTGAATATTAAACATTTGTTTGACAACAGTTTGAAAGTTATGAAGGCCTTGGAAAAAGTGACTTATAACTTTTGAGCTACTGGTGATATGGATGATTTACTTATGGTGGAATATTACAAAGTGCACCACATTTGTTGTACATAATGATTTCACAATTTTCAGGTTGCACTGCATAAGGTAAGGGTGGTAGAAAATGTTACTCACTCAATGTGGCTGAGCCAGAACTCCAAATAGCCACTGTGGCTAATGGTGTGAAAGCAGTATTACAAGGACCACAGGTGCTTAACTTGTAGGTGCTACAAGTTAAGTATGTTTTTGTATAATCATTTGTTTGCAATGGTATTGTATCAAATTGAAACTCTATTGCTGTAATCTAATGAGTGAATTGGATCATTGCTTTTTCCCCCCCAAGACTGCAAATGTGTATTTCCAGTATCAGGATGCTAATGTAAACATTCTGTTCCATTCCTGTTTGCTTACTATCTCCCTCAGGCAAGCAATGGCATCAACATATATATGCCAAAGGTATTTCCTTAAATATTTTTCCTTTTGATAATGTTGCATTACACAATTTGTCTGAATAAACAGCAGAGACAGCATATTCTAAAGGTAGTCCTCACTTAATGAACGAGGATCAGTGAGCGTTCAAAATTATGACAGGGTTCCAAAAAAGGGAAATATTGAAGTTTAAGACTACTTCAGGAAAAACATTCCAACTCTGCCATCATAACTCTAAAAGGAAATGGAGCTCTTTTCATGGAAACTCAGTTTACTCCCCTCCCCCCACATATTAAGTTCCTAATTAATTTCTACATATTAATATGCCAGTTTTCTTTCCTTTCTCAGCATGATATAAACTTTCCTGTCCTATTTTGCAACCTCACACCATCTGGCTGGGAGGAAAAAATTGTACAGTAGGACCCCTTTTAAGAACGTTGGAGAGGACAACCTTTCACAAGAGGCCTCTCCTACGACTTAAGACCCTGTCAGGAAGGGAGGAAGACTCTGTTTTCTTAATCTTTGGCATTAAAAGGGTGCAAACTGTGCTTGGAAGAGGAATGGAAGATGCTAGAGGATAAAAGCTACCCTTTAGCTGCTAAGGCAAGAGACCACCTTTTGCTCTAGTCCCAAGAACAGGGAAGGGTTCGCCCACTCCAAGTATTTTAATTTCTCCCTTCTTTCTGCTTTTTGCCCGAGCAAGTGTGGGGCAGGCAGCAGTCCCAAATCTGAGACGCTTTCCGACCCGGTTGTCACTCTCCTAGAACCCTCCGGCTGGAAGGGGCCTCGGAGGTCTTCTAGTCCACCCCCTTGCCCGGGCAGGAGTCCTCGTTCATCTAGCTAGCTGTTCCCGCATCCTCCAGTCCCTATCTGGTCAAGGGACCTGGCCAGGGGCCGGGGGCTCAGGAGTAAAAGCGGTGGGGAGGGGGCCACGCGCGGAGAAGCGCCGAGCCAGCCCTGCGGCCCCCACCGCCCAGCCCCCGCCTGGCGCTCACCCACCTGGGCAGGCAGATGGGCTCTCAGGTAGCCCTGGAGCAAGGGGTCTTCCAGGTAGGGGTTTCCCATCCGAGGCGCCCCCATCTTTGCCGAGGGGTCTTGGAGCGCTCCGCAGCCTCCCGCTTCCCGCAAAGGCTCCCGCTGGAAAAGTGCCACTGCGACCAGGGAGAGGTTTTGCCCACGGTCCCCTCGCAGGGCGTTCCTGCATGGATTAGGGATAGGCGGGTGCCCCGGGCAAGCGATCGTCACGGTTGAGGGGAGACGCGCGTGCGAGAGAAAAAGACCGCGAGTCTTCGGGCACCTCTCCCACCCCCGGAGCGTTGTCAGACCGGTTCTGAGCCGGGTCCAAAAGAGGCAGGTGGAGTTCGGGGACGCCTAGCAGTCGTCAGGCAGCTCTTCGGGCTGTTCTTTGCTCCCCAATTCATCCTCTCCTGTGGCAAAAGAGCCGGGCAGTCTCTGCAGTGCCTGTGCGAGCGCACGGCCAGCTCCCCGAAGTTCGCCACAGGAGGAAGCGAAGGGAGGCAAGGCCACCCTTGGAATATCGCGTCCAGGTTTGGTTCCCCACGATGTAAAAAAAAAGATGGGGAGACTCTAGAAA